GAACAGGTATATATCCGGTTGCATGTATCGAATTTATTAAGATCGCCGAGGACCTTTGGTTGATATTTATTTCCCCCCGTCTTGTTTAGCCCCAAATAAGCTTAGATGGTAGTTCAACGCCTCTATACGCTCTGGCGTGTGTGTTGTCATACCAATATTTAGATTGGGTGGATCATCAAGCTGCTTCTAAGCCCTACTTGATCCCTTTATTCATCAATACCTGGCGATCCGCTTCATCAGGCTTATAATAGTCTTTGATCTCCTTTCTTCTGCGCATTGCTCGTGAGGTAGTTGCCCTTGAATTTGAGTTGTACGAGCTGAAGAATGAGTCTTTTGGCAGTTTTCAAATCAATTAATGGAGTGAAATCCATCATGTGTAAGTTAAAAAAAAAAAAGGAATACCTATAGTTATGCGATTTTATTGTTAAGACTTCAACAGATGTGCTGTCACTTAATACTTCGTGTTAGCGTTATCATGAACTGTACGTCAATTTAGAAAAAAATTTTTTTCTCCCAATCTTGTAAGCTTTTAAATCTTTTAGAAAGTCACGTATAGATGATCGTCTGTGGCTAAAAAGGACCACATCCTTTTTCAGAAACCAACCCTACTTCTTCTTCCTACCTTTGTTTCCACGAGGTTACTCTTCCACCGCTCCTAGATGCGAACAAAGTAATGGGCTTAGCTTCCTTTGTTTCCTCAGAGCCAAGACTCTCCTGCTCTTTTTTTAACAACGTTTTGGCACACGCTCTAAAACCCTTAAAATTTTTGTGTACGAATAACCTTCGTTCTCCCATTACACTTGGCTGAAAAACTACAATTGCAACTAAGATACACGAAAGTTTGTAGTGCGACCAATAAAAGTTACATTTTTTGCCCAAACATTGTTTTTACTTTCAACTTAATAATGAAAATTCAATAGTGAAATTGGACGACGAGATTGACGGGCACTGAACGAGAAGGAGGGTAAATAAAATGAAGAGCGCGTCTGAAACTGTCACATAATTTTCTGATTCCATCTAATAGTTTCTGTCCCTTTGCTACTATGTACTTTTCGTTCTTCTTTATTGGATGGAACACATATTTTGCTCTTTTATAAAGATACGCAGTAGTGTAATTACATGATTATCAATATTTTTCAAGACCTGTGTCCTCGAGATTTGTTGAATGTACGAAATACTGAGGAAAAAATTACTCACAAGTTTATTTACTGATTTACTTTAATTATACACGGGTTTGAAGCAGTTAGTCTCTTAGATTATTTAATTGACGAGATAGAACGTCATTTAGCTCATAACGTCTGACCGCAAAAAATTACAATTTGTTTGTCATCAAAGGAAGAGCTTTTTATAAAAATTAAAATCAGGAAATTTAGGGCATGCACGGAAAATATCGTTAAAAAATGTAAATCTATGCAAGAATCTAAAAAGTTGGTGAAATGGAAGCGAACCATGAGTAGGAATGTAATTTAATTGAAATCGAATATTAAAATTTCATCAATGTTAACGTGAAATATACATGAATTCCAGTTGAGCCTAACTAAAAATTTTACATGTTTAATATTTCATGAAAGATAACGTGATGCCGTTCGTAAGTACTAATGAGCTTTACAGATGCTGGTCATTTTTCGAAAGGTGGAGCTAAGTAACATTTTCAAATAAAATTGTATTTATAGACCCTAATGAGTCAAAGTTTTTTTTTTTAATTCGATTTAAATTTACAATAATGATCTTAAAAAATTACTAAAATTAATAGCAAGCGTGCACCGAGGATATATTCACATTATTTACAGAAAAAAGCACTTACATCCAAGCGCAGAGAAAAAAATGGGAGAAGAAATTTATGTAGCCAACAAACAGTCATCTTTAATCAAATCGTTGTCTTTTTATGGGTGACGGATGCTCTTAGCTTGATTAATCACTACCGAATATCAAGAGAGTAATTTTTATGCACTCCCTGCACTCGCGCATCGATGTGCACTGTAACAACAAGTTCGTAGCATATTCAAACGCATGGAAAAATATTGTACAAAAAATCACCTCGAGCGTCTGGAGAGCTCATGACCAACTTCTCATATTTTTAATATCTCGTCATCGGTGCATTATAAAAATTGAATTTACCTTTGCAGACGCTGTGTTATCATTATGACGAGTGGAATAAGCTCTAGGGGGTGAAACTGTTTTTCACATTGTCACCAAGCCAGATAAATTATATTAAATAAATATTTTATCCATCACGTCTCTTTAAAAAAAATTTTCATTTTCTAATGACCCTGATTATTGCTAAATAAAAAACCATCTCTGAAAGCTTACCATTGTCAAAATAATTTAGATAAATTACCCAGTCTAAATATTATATAGAATCATCACATGGACCTCCTAAGAATATTGACTCCATCCTTGTAAGACGACAATTTATACAAAAGTTTGCGAGAAGTTTGAGCACGTCAAAAGAAAAAAAGCCTCTTGACCAAATTTTGATTTGACTTGCACTTTTCAAGATATTTTCGGTTAAATGCTCATGGAAAAGCTTTAAAACGATCATGTAAAAATACTCAAACTGTACTCTGTGCTGAACGAATTCGTTGATTTGTTATTGACAATACTTTGAAATCGAAGTCGAACGAACGAGCAAGATTAGTGTTCCGTTGTTATTTGCAGTTAACAGATATATATNAAAGCTTGCGTATATATATATTTTTTTTTTCAATTGTATAAAACACGAAAAGACGTAACAAGCATTTGCATGTTGAAAATTACTCGGAAGGTTCCCAGGGTTTGGGTATAGTAGAGCGTGTATGCGTGATTGAAAATAAGTTTTGCGAAAACTCGATTCCACGTACTCTGGTTTGCTTAACTTTTTTTTTTTTTTTTTTTTTTTATCGTGCACCCTCTATTGTATTATCTATTCTCTGAGAAAAAGGAATAACAGGAAAGGAAGATGTAACTTACGTTGGCAGTTGTGCGAGCATTCATTTTACGCCCCCATTCTCTCTCTCTCTCTCTCTCTCTGTCACGTTTTTTTTGTCCAGAAAATAGTTCGCTCTTGTAGCCTCGTATGTCTTGTGTGGTGACAAAAAATTTCTCGTTGGTACGAAAAAGGAAACAAGACTACACGATAATTCAGCGAAGTATACAGCCAATGTACATCCCTCTGGTTTCCAGCAAAGCATTTTTTCAACCCCCACTAGCACTTGCTTACTCTTTCTCCTTCTCTTCTGGCTATTCCCGGTCCATACAGACATATCTTTCACATCCCATCAAGTTGATTTAGTCAAGCATGACACGCTAAAAAGAATAACCAATTGTTTCTTTTTCTCCCCATCGTAGGTGGGGCTGCAGAGCTCGGATACACGGTTTGTATGGATGTGAGGTGTTGCCTTGACATATCTTTGCGTACAGGTTTCACTAATACGTTGATACCTGTTTGCCAAACATTACACAAAGTTTGCCAGCACAAAGAAGTATATACAACGTTTTGGAAACGAATGCATTTCTATTTTTTTACAAACCAATAGTGATGGGTGTTGTACGTGAAATTAAAAATATTTTGTAGCAATATCCGTGCAAGTTCTCATTTTCGTTTCTTGCTTTTCCAATGTTTTCTCGAGAATACTTGTTCCATTTGTATCGTATTATGATTCAGTGGTACTAAATAAAAGAATGTATTTGCTTCGATTACCATTAATGCTTTTTTTCCCGACAACGGTTGGTTTAATGATACACTGGCGGGGCGGCGCCACAACGGATACTCTCGAAGTCAATAAATATACTATATACGACCGATGTAACTGTCGAAGGGGATGAACGAGCATGCAGCTAATGACTGTTACCGTAGTGATATATACCTACACTCATATTCCAGTTTATATATAGTCGACTCTCTCACACACAGACACAGGCACTGCTGAACACGCTTAGCGTTCAAAGCTCTGGTATCCATCATACTCCCGCTTGACTTCTAGGATTCAGATATCAAGGGATTTACGGATCTAAAAGAAAATGAAAGTTACGTCGAAACAAAAGCCAGGACGTAGTCAGGAGTAGCCATTAGGCTTTGGTATAGCTATGGATTTAACTTAATTCCTACAATTTCAACCAAAAAGCATAGAAAAAACGGTTACGTCAATGCAAGTTCATTTCTTTGTTTTGACAATTGCGTACCTGTAGACAAACCGTTGACGGAAACTTTTTCTCTGTGTGTGTGTCTGTGTACAGTAACGAATCGATTTGCAACAATTTTAAGCTAACATCTGTACTTAATTGTATCTTTTAATTTAACTAGCTTAATTAAAGCTTGTTTTCCGCAATTTCAACCACTAGTGAAATTAATGTTTCTAGTGTAAGCTGACGTAATTTGTGTGTAATATAGTTAGTCACAATTTTAGTAGATTTTTTAAACATTTCTAGTTTTTTTTGTGTAGCTATGCAAGCTCTGCTAAATCGTAACTTCTACTCCAGCTTCCTTTTGTCTCAAGATTTTTCAAAGATCGTAATCGCATGATGGTAAATATAACCATCTAAAAAATATATTTTTCTTTTTCATGTGCACGTTCTGGCACCTGTCAAAACAATGTGGTACCTGTGACACGGCATGATAATGTATAGATCTGATCCGAAGATTTGGATTGATGCAAAGGGCAAGCCGATCGCCCGCCACCTCGTATACAGTATACCTGGAAAACCATGAGGGGATGAGGAGTCACGAGCACCAACATGCCCCAAGCAACTGAACTCGTGTGGGCCATCCACCCACACCCACACACACGCAATCTTTGAGCAAAGGGTGGACCTGCAAGTGCGGGGGAAGGGGTGGCGTGGCAGCGGCGACGGCGGGCATGCGCCTCCAGTGGTAGCAGCGCCGGTGACGCGGTCGGGGCCCCCCTCATTCTCTCGTGCTACGCCGCACCGCGAGTACATTGCACTCGGGAAGTTGGTGCGCGCCTCGAACGACGTTTGCTCCTATATGTAGGCAATGGGCCCAGTTGTTGAGAAAACTCCGTCTCTCCGGCATCGCGTCTACCAAAACGTAAACAATAGCACCACGTGTGGCGAGCAAATTGTGTTGTTCTTGCCCGATGGGGTGCTACGCATTTCGGAGCAGTGGGTGTTTGAGTAATAGTGAAGTTACGATCAACGTGGGCCAACTACTGACCGCAAAATCGGCAAATTACTTTTATTAACAACAGTTGGTACCTTTGACGACGCTGACGTGCCAGTGACTTGGTGTTGTCGTAATTACCAATTTCGGTGAGGCTGCATGTACACATAACGACTCTTGTGGTGTGAGATGGAGTCACCAACTCCTCCTAGGTAGCTTCCACGGTTGGATTCCACAGTGGCGTACATTAAATATATACAAATCTCAAATTGCTTAGAACAATAGCCTCAACAAATGCTTGACATTTGAGGAAATAGTAAAGAGTGTAAACATGGCTCAGTCAAAGGGTAACAGTGACAATAGCAATAGAGCCGTGTCTCGCTCTGACTGTTCGCTGGCGCTTACTTTGATGGCTCTCCTGCTCCTCATAACGGGTAAGTGTTACTTTCATCACTCCTCCCGCCAAGTGCATTGTTGAATGGGTTTCGCGTTTCATTCACTGCCCCCCCCCCCCCCCCCCGACACGTATTCCTCGACTGGGCAGTTGCAACTTTAGTGTAGCGAAGACATTGCGTTAGTGGTACCTGCAACGTCATCTCCGTCTTTGTCGCCGGTGTTGCTGCTGTTGTTGCTGCGGACCACGTGCATTAATTGGAAAGACGATACGGCTTGCGACCGCGAGAATGAATTTACGGGCCGGCTGGGTAATCTCTCGGGCTCCTCGTTCGCAAGTTTAATTGAGAATAGCGAGGCGAGCACCTCCTCACGGCTGTGGTTCTCGGACGTAATTGTCGAGGCAAGTCGCAATGACTGCAAGAGAGAAACAAAAGACGCGTTCCGCATAATGCACCTGACGGTTTGCTTAGGTAGAAGGCTATACGTATACTACCCCAAAAACTCCTTGAAACTTGTGTTGTCCTTCCATAGTAAAATGCACTGTACAAGTATGTATATAATTTATCTATCGTAATGGTATAAAATTGTCTTAACATGTTGATTCTGAGAGCTTATTTAATATAACTTCTTTTGAATTATATGCAGCTTCATTCCTTTCGAAATTCAAGCATAGCGATTCCACTTTCACTCGTTAAGTAGTACTTTTCTGTAATATTTTAAAGTAAAAAAAAACTTCCCTGTAAAGGAGCGAAAGACACTGTAATTCACTCGAAAGCAAACACGTCGTATGTCTCGGCCATGTTTGTCTTTCTTTTCTCTGGTAAGTACTCGAAAAAATAGAAAAAAAAAAAAAAAAAAAATTACTCTTGGCGAAGAACGTACATAGAGAAAGAAGAAAAGTGGTATGCATACGGTACGTACAAAAACAAAGATAGGGCTGCAATGTCGGTATAATTAAATAGCTTGATTACATTCCTCGCGAGTCAGGGTAACTAGCAAAACGAGCAATTTCGGTTTCTGCAAAAAAGAAAAAACACAAAAAGCTGATCTTTTTTTTATTCTGGTTTGTTCTAATGTCGCTCATTCACAATATTTCAAACATCAGAGAATACATTTTTCTCTCTTTCTTCACATTATATCTGATGCCATCTCTAATTACAAGTTTAAGCTGTTGACCAAAAAAATTGTTGAGAATCGCTCTCTTTTTGAGTTTTTCCGTCTCTCAAGGACCTCGAGTCCAATACTAGGAAATAAAGAAATAGGTACTATTTTTTTTTTTCAGTGCTTCTAAGCTATAAGTTATTCATATTGTCAAAATGTTGTTTCTCGATAATACCAAGTCCTGTACACCTCTTCTTTTTACCCTCAGTTTTTTCTACCTTACTCTTTTCTTTTCTAAATCTTTCTCTCGGTTTTTTCACCTCTTCGTATCGTGAATAAAAATTGATACTCGCATCAATGTGTTCTTAATTTCACATTCATCAAACTGAAAATGTAGTTTCTTTGCACCACATTGACTTGAACACCTCTAATTCGGTAAAATTTTACGATGCAATTTAAGCAAAACAGAGTTCCTCAAGTGATTGGTTGTCCACTAATAGCGTTGCTGAATAAAAAGACGATTTCATTGATTACAAGCTAGTTTCCGATTCTAAATTTACATCTGTATACATTCATGGCCCAACGATTCCGCAAGGCAGCCATGCACGTACGCACTCGCGTAACATGCGTGCCACGTATACAGGTCCTCCGTATCTCGATGGCACATACAATTAACGCAACCTCAACCGCATACGTGTATACATTTGCGCGTCCGTGTGTGCATGCATGCATACGTGTACAATTGACAGTATAGTCACGCATCAGTAACAGCAATAATCTCCGCCCTCCCGTGCGTGCTCAGAAATTCTACGGATGCCCATCAGCTAAACAATTACATTAAACCTTGATACAAGTGCGCATCAACTCTTCCCCATTTCTTTGCAATTTCTTGAACGTAAATACATTACGCACAACGCAAAAGCATATAGAACCTGTCAAAGTATTCTTCTTTTGTAAATTTATGATTTTATTTTGCCATCTTTACGTTTTTTTCCTCAGTGCTCCACTCGTAGGAAACATAATTAGTCGAAGCAACTCACCGCAAGTCCATAGTTTTAATGTAACAAAGTAAAGTTAAAAAATGTATCTAACTTTGACACTTCCCTACTCCTCTTACTTTCTCGTTCCAACACTCAATAAAAGCACCTAATATTAATAACCATCCCCAATTATACACAACTGTACTTTGATTCGATAAATTACAAACACTTTGTTATTACAAATTCTTGCTTAAAAGGAAACATTATAAATTAGTATGCTAGTATAAACGCAAAGGGCTTTTATGACACGGGCATGATGAGACTGAGCCACAAGGCATAACCGAACTTTACACACGTGTATATTTTATTTGCACTTTCTGCTACATATAATTACTATTCCGTAATTTTCATCGTGTTTGTGCGAATAATTTTAATTACGCTTGTAACAAAAATTTGTACGCATAAAACACCTTAGCTGGCGGCCAATAGATTGGTGTCTCTTTGTTTCTTTCTCGTTGTAAATTATAGCCTTATTATTGCAATACGTAAATAGTACAAAATTCTTGCTCCTTCATTTTTCAACATACTATTCTTTAAGCTCTACAGAAGTGCTCATGTGACTTATTTTCCACCTCTGTAACTCCATCTCTTGCCCATGTTGTCCAAATGTGCCCGACCCAGCTCTCTGCTAGTTTTTTAAAATACTTTACCTCCTTTGCATACTAATGTAGTAGAAGACATACATCGTACAAGAAAAAAGGAATAGAAAACGCAACTATTTTTTATGATGATTCCAATGTTGATGGATCATAGTCCCTGATTCTATTTCATTTTAAGGTATCACGTGCATTGAGAAAAAAAAAGATTTTCAAGGGTGGGAGAAAAAAAGTGCTTCTAAAAAACAAAAGCCTCGAGAGCACACAGAGTCTCCGTTTTCCATTATTGTTTTACCGCAGTGGAGGCGCTGTCTTGGAGAAAAAGAGCTCCCTTGTGGGTACGGAGAGGGGGGGGGGGACCTTCTGCGTTTCCTTTGGTCGTGTGTTCATCCCTTGCCTTACTTTCTACTTGATTTCCCCGAGCCTTGAGAGCTTTCACGTCATGGTAAAACCGCTCGAGTTAGCTTATACCCTCAACACTGTTTCCAGGAGCTTTGAAAACTTTAATAAATAAATCTTAACGAAAATATTGTATTTACGCTATATTGAAATAGCACTGAGATGGTTTTTAACATGTCTTTAAATTATAAAGATACATCAAAAGGGTGTTTTTAGGGATATTTCAGCAATGAATTCCATTAAAATGATTTTACTTTTTTTTTTTTTTAATTTTGTAAATTAGATTGAATGAAAATCGAAAAAGGGTTAAAAAAAAACAGAATTAAAAAAAGAAATTTGTATGAAAAAGTTTGTCGTTAATACGTGCAAGTGTTAAACGAGCTTCGGTCGGACAACTCTGTATGCAAAACTAAGTTTGACCACCTCTGAAACTTTTATCGATACGTATGCAAAATGTGATGGGCATTTACATCGCATTTTCAACAAAAACATTCTGTTTTTCGTCAATAGAAGGTTTTGCTAGTCACGTTGGCAGCAAGTGCCGGCTGATCGCTGTATCTCAAACTTTGGCACAAACATACTTCTCCTCTCTCGTTACACAAATGTTAAAAATCAATTTCTATGGCTTTCTGCTCATCGTACAAAGTAGGTACATTTTATACTTTTAAATATGAGCGTTTAATGTCAAAGTTTACTCTCAATGTATCTACATATAATACGTACTCGATAATTCGTGTATTTGTGTTTTTATCTCATTGTCAATTCTCGTGCCAATACCTTGATAGAAGACGTAAAATTTTAGCATTACGATAGAAATAAATATCATCCCGATAAAAAAAAAAAAAAAAAAAAAAATGTTTAAAAAAGAGATTCATTATGTAATTTTTTTTTATTGTACTGATATCTCATTCAGTCACATTTGAAATTCAATGAATGAATTATGTACAATAAAAATTCCAGTCGAGTAAATTAAATGCTTCACAATATATGATGAATACTACATGATGGTATCTTTTAAGAAGCATTCCACTGCACGTAACTCTAGAAAAAGCAAAGGGATCAGAAAGAAATGAGATTTTCTTGACACAAAAAAGAGAGGAGCTTACTTCTGGAGGGTTTAACTTTATTCATAGAAAAATGAGCCCAATACATGTTACATCGACTAAGAAGCCAAAGCAGCGACCTTATGGTTTTGCGCAAAAAGGCCGAACGAACCGAGGGAGACACAATGGCTGGACCCCAGAGAAAGTACACCTATATATATGCGTGTGCTTGTGCACTTTGTTGATGAATAGGGGGAATTTGCTTCACTCGAGGTTTTTGTCTCTGGGAACTCTTTCGCCGGAGTCCCCGGGCACCCTTGCACTACTCGCTACCGACGACACGGGTAAGGGTGAGGAGAATGCGCGAATCAGAGTTCCATGCTCGTCGCGTGCCAAACCAAATTAAAGCGCGAAAAAAGAGTCCCAGCTGGTGCGGTGACTGGGCAGCAAAACATCGTTTGCTAGTAGGTATGTGCGGCTGGTTGGGCGCGTTATGAGCCTCCGAGGGAGGGCCGACCACGGAATTCGCATGTGCGGCTGCGTGCCTGTCTGACTGCGGGTCTCTAACGAGCTGCACTGCCGGCTCATCCCTTCGTTGCCCTTTCGCCCCGATACTTCCCCTCTTGTGACCACACGTGTGCTAGCACATACTTGTACGTATAGGCAGGTAGTGGACCTCACCTTCTATACTCGCCTAGCGATAAAACTCTCCTCTTTTTCTTGTGTGCTCCAGAGCGGACGTGGCTGTGCAAGCTCGTGAAAAAGCAAACAGAAAAATAGCTGCAAAGTGTGTACTTTCTTTTGTGTTTCCTTATACCTATGAAATAGTTTTTCAGCGTGCTAATTTCACTAAAAATTC